AACCCTAAACCCTGAACCCCAACCTCTTTCTAAACCCTTCAAGAAGACATCCCAGGCTACAGGTCTTCAAGCGCGAGGGCCCAGGCTCGGATATCTCCTTGGAGGAGGGTGGCTGGGCCCAGTCTTTCGGGTTAGGGTTTAGGGTTGAGGGTTGGCACACCTTTCTGCAATGTTGATCGTTGGATTTAGGGTTTTAGGGTTTAGGGCTTAGGGTTTAGGGTTTAGCGGTTAGGATTTTTTCGGAATGCCCTAACCCTTCGCCATAAATCCTGATAGTAAATGAGGACTTGGGTAATGTAGGGAACTGAGTAAGAAACCTTGAACTCCAAAACTAGTAAGAATCCTGCAAAGAATCCCGATACATGTTCCTATTTTTCCATCGTATTCAGAAGATGCTTGGAGCCAAGGTGTGGAGTTGATGAAGAAGTACGACATCAACGTCAAGCAGTTCCAGCGAAAACGAGAGGACCTGGTGAAAGCCCAAACTCTCTTCAACCTGCCTATCCAGACCTACCCGGAGCTTCCGGGTGGCAGTCGGGTATGCTTCTATTGGAAAGGCCCTGTGGTGTTTGTTTTTGAGGCAGCTATTCATGAATAAGGTTGGGGACCCTTAAGCTTACGCCCAGGCTCCTGCAGTTGGAGAAGGACCTCCGACTCCTTCAGCAGATCTACAAGGTCTACATCGATCATGCGGCCATGGTCAACGAATACAGCAACGCCTTCTGGACGAAGTTCGACATCAACGCGCTGACGAAGAGCGCCGAGGAGTTCGACAAGCTCGTCCGGCGAATGCCCAAAGAGCAAAAGGAACTCGGGGAGCTCCAGACCTTCCAAAAGCTCGAGGAGGTGGGAGAGTCTTGGGGAGTTTCCGGGGTACCTTATTTTGGGGTCCTTATAATAAGGATCCTATTATTTAGGGTACTATATTAGGGTCCCCTATTTTCGGAACCCCCCATATTTTTTGAGCAGGAGTTTGGGAATGGGAGTAGTTGCAAAAATTTATGCGTGAGTCTACATGTACATGACAAGAGAGGGATACGTTCTGAGATGACAGCAGCAGGGCCCTTCTTGAACCCGAAACCCCAAACCCTCGGCCCTACGCCTTGGGGCCTTAAACCCCGATTCCGAAGCTCCTTCGGATTGCAGGTCGTCACTTCCTTCAAGGCAGGGGTGCCCCTGATCCAGCAGCTGAAGAGCGATGCCATCCGCAAGGTCCACTGGGAGGAGCTGATGCTGAAGCTGTAGTGTTCTTAGGAACTAGTTTTTAGTTTTTAGCCTGATGTAACTCCAACATGGAATATTTGTTCGTAGTTCGAACTATAATGCAACCCCAAGGGTTACCAAACAATATACACGTTTATTATAATTCTAAGGGGCTTGAGGAAGAGGGCTGAGGGTTGAGGCTTGAGGCAGAGAGCTGAAGGTTTCGGGTCAGCCCAATTGTGCAGGAGCTGATGCAGCTCGCCGGCGTCGAGACGGAAGATTTCGACATCAAGAAGATGACCTTAAACTCCGTCTTCGCAATGCAGCTGCACCGCTACCCCGACGAGGTCAACGAGCTGGTGGTGACGGCTCAGAACGAGCTCAAGATTGAAAGCGAGCTTGCGAAAATTGACAGCACATGGCGCAACATGCCTTTGGGCCTGAAAGCCTACAAGGGCGAGCCCAGCAACCCACGTGGCTATGCGCTGCTGCCGAACGAGGAGATGAAGCAGACCTTGGACGACCATGTCCTCACGCTCCAGTCCATGAGCTCCTCGAAGTATGCCGCGAAGCTCTTAGATACCATCAAGCGCTGGGAGAAGAACCTCTCGGTGGTCAGTGAAGTCTTCGATGCCTGGATGGTGCTTCAGAGGAAGTGGATGTACTTGGAGAGCATCTTCCTGGACTCCGAGGACATTAGCATGCAACTGCCGGAGCAGGCGAAGCAGTTCGTGCGCTGTCACAAAGCCTACACCAAGATCATGTATGCCACGCAGGCCTCACCCCAGGTGCTGTCGGCCTGTTGCCAGGACGGTCGACTGGAGGAGTTCAAGGGCCTAACCTCGGAGTTCGACCGAATCCAGAAGTCTTTGACCGACTATCTGGACACGAAGCGCTCCGCCTTCCCTCGTTTCTACCTGATCTCCGATGATGAGCTCCTGAGCATCTTGGGGACCAGCGATGCGCAGGCGGTGCAGCCTCACATGTTGAAGCTCTTCGACAACTGCAAGACCCTGGAGTTCAGTCGCGGCAAGACAGTGGTGGGCATGTACTCGGACGAGGGCGAACATTTCCGCTTCCACCAAGCCCAGAAGGCCGAAGGAGCCGTGGAAGATTGGATGCTCACGGTGGATGAGCAGATGCAAGATACACTGCAGCGGATCTCCAAGACTGCGGTCTATCACTATGCCTCCCAGGAGAGGATGGAATGGGTGCAGAGCTACATTGGCATGGTGGCCATTCTTGGAACCCAGATTTGGTGGACCTGGCAGGTCGAGGACGCCTTCCGGAAAGTAGCAGAAGGAGACAAGAATGCCATGAAGAACGAGCTGAAGAAGGAGAACACCCAAGTTCAGGACCTCGTTGCGTTCGTGCGTTCGCCCATCAACAAGCTTCAGCGCAAGAAAGTCAACACCTTGATTATCTTGGATGTCCACGCCCGAGACATTGTCGACCGCTTCGTTCGCGACAGCATCCTCAGCAAAGAGGAGTTCGCCTGGGAGTCGCAGCTCCGGTTCTACTGGGACAGGAAGATGGATGATGTGGCGATTCGCCAGTGTACGGGGCAGTTGAAGTATTGCTACGAGTATCAGGGGCTCAACGGCCGTCTGGTCATCACCCCGCTTACGGACAGATGCGTCATGACTCTGACCACAGCACTGACCTTCAACATGGGCGGTGCGCCGGCTGGCCCGGCGGGTACCGGCAAAACCGAGACGGTCAAGGACCTGGCCAAGTCATTGGCCATCTCCTGCGTGGTTACCAATTGCGGAGACGGTCTGGACTTCCGGGCGATGGGAGTGATCTTCAGCGGGCTTTCAGAGACAGGCTTCTGGGGATGCTTCGATGAGTTCAATCGAATCAACGTCGAGGTCTTGTCCGTCGTGGCTGCGCAGATCAAGACCATCCAGAATGGCTTGAATGGTGGCAAGAAGACGGTCGAGATGCTTGGTCGTGATGTGGCCCTAAAGACCACGATCGGTTACTTCATCACCATGAATCCCGGCTACGCGGGTCGATCTGAGCTGCCGGACAACCTGAAGGCCCTTTTCCGTCCAGTGACAATGATCGTGCCGGACCTTCTCATGATCTGTGAGAACATGCTCATGTCCGAGGGCTTCAACATGGCGAAGGTGCTGGCCAAGAAGATGACCGTGCTCTATGCGCTTTCCCAGGGTCAGCTGTCGAAGCAGTACCACTACGACTCCTGGGCTTTTATATAGAATCGGTGCGCCATATGCTGTCCGTACTAAGTTCTTGAACTCCTGTGATAAAAACCCTTGAGCGGCTATTTGTCCGAAAACAGGAGCCTTAGATCCTGAACCTTAAGCCCGGAAACCCTTAACCCTAGACCATGGTAACCCCAGGCCCTACAGCCCCTAAACCCTAAACCCTAAACCCTAAAGAGCCCAGGACTTCCAGCTTCAATCCTAAAACTGCGAACTCGAAGGCAAACAAAAATCCCTGGAGCCTGAACCCTAAACCCTAAATCCACCAACAAAAACCCGAAGCCCTAGAATCCCTAAACCCTAAACCCCCCCCTGAAAGACCTGAAAGCCCCCCCAAACCCACCCTAAACCCTAAACCCTTGTGA